ATGTTGACCTGTTCCGTTACATAAAGTAACGGTTGCCGAAACTAAAACTCACTTTCAAACTTTCAAAGGACTTTCGAATAGGTTAGCAATTGATGAATCAACTGTTACTAGACATGCGATGGGAACGATTCAAGAGGAGTGAACGTGGCTGCCATACGAATTGACTGAAAATGACATTGCGAAGAGCTTCAACATCGCGGTTTCATTGATTGCTAGCAAGAAACAAAAAAAAAGGGTTTTCTGCGACGTATTGTGGCTGACGATGAAAGCCGGATCTACTACGATGTAATGTATTGTAGAACCGAATGAAATCATTATTGACTATGTCAGAGCAGCAATATCGATTTACAGGCGTAAATTCAAGCTCTTACTCGGCCACACATTGCAAGGGTTGCCAAGGATACACTGTTGCAGCTCGAATGGAAAATTCAGTCGCACCTGGTGTACTCATCAGGCATATCGCCTACCGATTTCCACTTTTTCAGATCGATGCAGCACAGCTTGACTGGCACGTGGTCTCGATATACTGAAGAAGAAGTGTGAAAATGGATCGATAATTGGATCACTGCCAAACCAATATCGTCACGATGCACAGCATGTTGTTAGAGAGATGGGAGGAAGTTGTAGAAAATTATGGTAAATATTTTGATTATTGTACTAATTTTTGAACTGAAAAATGGATCAAAATACATACAAGCTCCTAACCTTTTAAATAACACGAATATAAATAAACGTCCATTAGTAAGAAGTTGTTATTGAAAGCCAGAAGTTGTGATAATTTCTAAATCCTTCTGAGGATTAATGCAGATTAAAAACTAAAATTATTTTCCATTAATTTGTAGCAAGCAAAAGTACAAAAATTTTTGTTAGAAAAAACTGAGTTGTGTTCAGTTTATGTTCCACTGCGCGCTTCTGCTCTAACCAGTTTGGTCCATTTTCAATACCAATCTGCGTGCAGAAACTTTAAATGCTTCTACGAAATTTAAATTCGATATCTTCATTTTTGCGACAAGGAGAGTACCAGCAACACACACCACAGGCGAGACGGACAGACATGGCTAAGCAAATTCAGGATTTCACGCTGATCGAGGATCGAGAATATATATACTTTACAGAGTCGATGAAGTTTCCTTTCGAGTGTTGCATATATTATAAGTATAACTCCGTCTTACAGTGGTGGGTATAAAAAGATAAAACAAGGAATATATATAAACAATATAAGGTTTTCTTGCCTAATGACCGCAAAAAATATGTTCATAGGTTTACAGCGTTGCTATTAGACGCTAATGTTTCTTTTTTTCGCACAAGCTCTCTCCAACAGTTGTGTTGGATCTTTGCCGTTACACGGTGATAATAATATAATGAGTTCACATGTACGCTAAGCTTGATACTTGACAGTCTTTATTAGTCTCATAAGCGTTAGTTTTACCGGTACCAGTTTCGTCATAATTAGATAAACGCACGTTATGCTCGTCTAAAGCCCACAGATTCAATTCTGGTGGAACTAATTAAAAAATGTCTTCTTCTTGCTCGTTGAGTGCCCTAATATTTTTCACTAATTTCTCGTTTTCAGCACTTAAATCTCAAGGCCATTATTTCTGTTGCAGGACCGCAATTTCGAGCTCCTCATGCTGGTGATTTAATTATTCAGCCTTCTTGATCAACGATCAATTCTCTGATCCTTCCACTTAAGTTGGCTCAACCAACTTTTCGATCTTGATTTTCCCATTTTCCTTCAATATTTTACTCCATTGATATATATTCAATTTTTTCAATGTCCATTACATGTTAGCTCTCTAAAATTCGCTTTTGCTACCCTGGAAACTATTCGCGTTGTTAAACGTTTTTTAGTATTCAAGTTCTATATAGGTTTTTACAGTGACATCACGTGAAATTGTATTTTTTATTGTATATCTATAAAGCGACTCTTTTTTGCTTTTTTATCTTGTTTTTAATTTTTTGTTTTTTTTATAATCCATACCACGATATACTGTAATAGAAACTTTAGATGATATATTTTCCTTCTCCTTCTCTATTAAAATCTGGCATATCAACAGTCAATGATGACTAATTTTTGACACAAACTATTAGCCGTTACGGACAGACAGACAAAGCTTAATATATTAAAAATTGTCGCTATTTGCAATTTTATACAAAAAAAAAAAAAAATAAATAAATACAAAAAAAATTAAAGACTTCGCATCTGCACGTGTGTAGGTTATAGGTTATGTGAGATTGACGTGGTTTCTAAAACAATTGAAATTTCTTCTGATCAAAGAAATATATATGCATTTATGGACACATTTTTTATATTATTAGAAATATATTTATCCCAAAATAACTTTAGAATCTTGCTATTTTTATACCCATCACCGATGGTATATTCATTTTATCAAAACGTTTGCAACGCCCAGAAGGAAACTTCACAGACCCCACAAAGTATGATCAGCCTCAAATTGTGTATCGATTTAAGCACGTCCGTCTGTCCGTCTGTGTTATGTCTGTTGTAACCATTCTCATGGCCGCAAAAATTAAGCTATCGAATTGAAATTTAGCGGTATCGTTGGAACGTCTTGCCAAATCGTTCGAAGTACACGCCCACAGCACCAAGTAAATTGAGAACACCTTTGTTTTTCAAAAGGAATGAAAAATCGTTTTTTTGCTCATTACTCATAAAATTTAGTACATAAATGTATAAAAATTTGAACGTACATTCAATAGGCGATCCTGTAATACTTGTAGAAAAATTGGGAAAAACGGCCACGCCTACCCTTTATTATAGTTTATCAAAATGTAATTTTTACTCAATATTTGGACAACGCGCAGAAATATGCTTCAAAAACTATCATACAGCATATAACTACTTGGCAACTAAGAATGTCCATCGGTCCACCTATCACTCTTCGCAACTATATGTAGTCTCCGCCGTTCACAAAAATGAAAATCTCGCCTACAAACTTGCAAAAGAGATTGAAAATGACTCAAACTTTTCAAAGAACATGCCTACAACGCCCACACGCCTGCGCAACAAAAACTTTTATTTTGAAAGTAAAAAAAAATCGGCCTCTACTACATCGTATGATGTAGAGCATAAAAATTTTATTCCTTTACTTTTTTTTTGGCGTTTCTATGACAACAGTGATGGGTGTAAAAGATCCGATGACGACCAAATATAATTTTTTTACTTGCAATTTAACAAAGCATTATGTATATGCAGCACCGTGTGTACAGCCTGCGTGAATGTTGTTTGTTCATCGAAATTTTTTCTGTGAGGACAATTTATACGATTTATGCCGCACTGCATGATGATGTATGTGTATGGCATTTTTCGAATTGGAATTCAGCACGCAATCGAAGAGCTAGCTAGCATTTTTTTTTTTTTTTATCATTATTATTTTGTTTTTATTTTGTTAACAGAGCAAATTATTATTTCTTAACTCCTGTTATGGTCATAACAACTCTGCATTCTAAATACGTGCGGAATGTATAAGCGATGCCAGAGTTTCGCGGGTAAAGGTTCATTCATATACATGCTTATATACATATATAAGGCATAAATAGAACGTTATGCGTAACACATATATATATATATATAGCCATTTCAAAATTATATAGTAAACTTTTCGCATACACATCTATGCGTTCGCTCAATCATGAGAAATGTACGTAAATCTTTTATATTTTTGTTGCTAAGATAATTTCTAAAATCGATTCTTATGGCCTGCACGTAAACGCAGGCGAGTATGTAGCTTATCTTTATAAATAGAGCAAAATCTTATAAAATTTTTATAGGGTTGAGAAGACTTGTAGAGTGGAAGAGAGATAGATGGCGAGAGACAAAGAGTGAGCGAAAGAGAGAGAGAGGTAGATATGGTAGACCTTCTTTCGTAACATTTCGATGCCTTAGGCTGTTTTTATACACGTCACTGAAAGATGAGTGATATATTCATTTCGTTAAAACATTTGCAACGTCCAGAAGTAAGCTTCAGAGATCCCGCACAAAATGTACGTATCCTTGATCAGCATCAAATTCTGTATCATTTTAAGCACGTCCGTCTGTCCGTCTGTCTGTCCGTATAGTGTCTGTGTATAGTGAAAATGAAGCTATCCAGTTCAAATATTGCAAGTTTTTGCATGCAGGTTTTTATTGAAAATGGGCCAAATGGATCCAATGATACACCTGCCTGCGGTATCAAAAAGCTAAGAACACTTCTGTTTTTCAATAGGGATGAAAAATGGGTTTTTTGCTTCTTACTCGAAAACTAAAGCAGATAAATGTACCAATATTTGAAAGCACATTTTATTGGCGATGCTGTGGCAACTGATTTCACCACGCCTATTCAATATTATAGCATATGAAAATTTATATCGCGCAGAAACAAGCTTCAAAAACTTCATAAACTATATGTAAATTCTTGGGCAGCTACAAACTTGGAATGCACCTAAACATGTTTGCCGATTCATTGGGCCATCGATCTTTCTACGCAATTGTGTAGCATTTGTGGAAATACAATCTCCTATTAAGGAAAATGAAGGTACCACCTGCAAGAATTTGCAAATGACTTAAACATTGCCAAGGACACGCCTACAACGCCCACAAGCGTGTATAGTAATAGCAGTGAACAGTTTTGCTTTCCATCTCTCATCTCTCTCATCTA